ATATTTTGTAATTTATTATCAGAAGTTTCTGTACTAACATAAAAATCTATCAGTTACAGGATATACCCATAGTTCCATCACAATTTTGAAAAATGTACATTCATTACATAATCAACAAAAACACTGCTGAAATATCATATATGGATAAATATTCATATAATTGGCTTTCATACAACGACAATTACATTTTGAAAAGTATACATATAATCTATTATTAGTATATATGCTCCAACATTGAAATTCAATAGTGATATATCACTATGATTACATGTAATAACTTTCTTTACATTGACCACTTATTCTCCAATATCCATCAAATCAATACATCAAATGTAACTATATATGTAAACAGAATTTACAATTATATCTTAGAAAATGAACACCTGAATACAATACTTACATAATTCTATATCATGCAATTATCAGTATTATTTATGGTTTAATTACTACTTATTAAAATACAGCTGAAACTTGTATAATTGAATTTCTAATTTCTCTCAGATACTAATTTGTGAAGAAAACAAGGATCATAACAGTATATTAATAAACTAATTAGATATCTGAATAAACTGAAGACACATAAGGCACATTTCATTTCTACTAGCTTAGCCTATAAATTCCATAATACAAATGTTGAGTAGCTTGGTTCACCTTCATGCATAACTCAACCTGCTTTCTTTATTTGAACCAAGTTTTCTCCTGCTTGCCTAAAGAGCAGCATTGATTTGTCATCTTGTATGATATTCTCACTTGTCACAGATTTTCATGTTTTGTTTTACTGCATGTGGATAATTTAGTAAAAATGTGTTACTTCAGTTACTTATTTAATTTTTTTAGCATAATAGAGAGAGAGTTCAATTCCTAACCTGCGTATCTTTCTATAATTCACTTATATTTCAAATTGAATTTTTTTATAGTGACATACAGTATATTTATGAAAAATAATAAATTTGTTACTCATAATTATATCTAATTACCTTTGATTTGTTAAGATCTATTTGTAAATCATATTACAACATTATAGTAGTATGAAATTCTGTTGAAAGTAAAACTTTAATAAAATACAAACCAAGCTAATCAACATTTGTATTATGGAAGTTATAGGCTAAGTTACTAGAGATTAAATGTGTCTTAAATAATCTAATTCAAATAATGCAATGTTTCCAAAATTTATAAACATTTTATAATTTTCTATTACATTTTTTAAAAAATCATAACCTTGAACCTTCTTAAGAGTGCTTCAAATATCAACAGAAAGAAAACTCTGTTTATAGCACATATGTATTGTAAGCATAGGAAAACCTTTGTTGCTTCTTCATTTTGTGTGATTTTTACAAATATTGTAAAATTTCTTTTTAAAGAACTTCAAAACATAGCCATTTTAATTAACTGCTATTCAAATAATAATAATACTCTGAATTAACAGTTATTTCTTTAGTATTACTGCATTGACGTTTTTTTTCTCTCCTTTTGCTAAATAGTGAGTACTCATTACTGTATATTTAAATGATTTCTTATGTCAGATTACATGTTTTTATAAATTATTACTAATGCTTTTAATTGTTAACAACGAATTTCACTTGTCAATGAAATACTGTCTACATTGTACATGTATATTCAATGAATTACAATTAACAACAATTTTAGCTAAGTTTAATAACTAAAGTTTTTGTGATAGTAACAATAGTAAAATACTATTGGATTTTCTGATATAAGTTTATATTTTTAAAAAAGTGTGTGCAAAACAACCAAAACCAAAACTTCAAGAATTGCTTGAAAATTTAATAGTGTAGTTTACTTTATGATTTACTAATTATCTACATACCTTACTTTTTGAAATATGTTTTATTAGCTTAGTACAAGTTTCAGGGAAAACCAAAATAAGAAGTGTTCAAGAAGGCCATGTATAACTTAGCAATATATTCAAATAAATTCTCAAAGAACTGAATAAATTATAGAGTACTGTTTGCAGGCTCAGAGTCATGGCTCAGTTTAATTTAAACAAATAATAAAGTTACATCAGGTCAGTTTTATAAATGTAAAGTTATCAAACAAACTTAGTTTTTTAAATATTTCTTTCAGCAAATTTGCATACTAAAACTACATCATAATAACTACTACAACTACATGTTCTAATGATAAAAGAAGTGGTTGTATGGTTTCTTCAACATTATGGATGTGTAATAAAAAAAATGTAGTTCCATCATATATCAAAATATACATATATATGTACTGTGCAAAAAAATCTATGCTGGTATTTTTCATACAGCTCAAAGTCATTTATCAGAAACAAATAAAGCCTTAAAGCATAAGACAAAATACAGGCTTTGGAAATCTGCAATGAAGTGGTTTTCATC